TAGGCTTAAAACTTTCCTTTTTGATAAAGCTTATAGTTAGAGTGGCTCAGGTTATCCTGAGCTACAGTATATAAAATAACTGTTTTTAATTTTTAAACTGATTTCTAGGAGCAATAAAGGCAGAAATTCTGATGCGTGGGTGAGCTGCAGCTTTTCAAGCGGCACCGCTGACCCTCAGCGTGAACCGATTCTCCTGTCAGTTGGATCTGTTCTGCGCAGGATGGAGGTCCGAGACGCAGGCGGAGCCCATCCTGCAGACAGCTCCGTCCTTCAGCGAGGACGCAGCTCTCTGCGCTGCTGGATCCGCTCCACGGGTCAAGGACAGACAGAGCTGTGTTTGCAACAGGAGGCGCATTAAATCAGCCTGCAGGCTCCAGCAGGACGGCCTCTGCAGACGCATGAAGATGGTAATAACAGCCCACGCGCCGCACAGTGAGCTCCCTCTGTACGCAGAGCTGCAGACGCACACAGACCGCCTCAGCCTCTAACTTCATCCATCTGTGCTTTAGCAGCTCTACCTGTTTACTTCATGAGAAATTACTTATTTTTTCCAATGGATTTTGATTTTGTTGAAGATCAGCCTTAAAGCTTCTGATTGATCCTATTTATCATCCAATAATCCTGAACTTTGGGCAAGCACAGCCGGACTGAGCATCCCATATCCCAACTGGAGTACTTTCTTCTGATTAAATCACACTTTGAGCTTTGTGATTGGCTGCAAACCCTCCCCTGCTTAAAAAGATGCATTCATGTATCGAGGTAGTCAGGGGAAACTCAAAAATCCACACAAAATGTAAAGTTTAAAGACTTCTGGTACTTTGTAATTTAATGTATAATTTGCTGAGGTCATGGAGGGAGTTAAGATCTGGAGACCCACTGAAATCAAATGAAAACAAGACAAAATGGCGTTGATTTCTTCCAGCTTAAAGCCTCTTCAGACGCTGATAAACCCTAACGTAGCTTTTCAATCCAGATTGTAAAGGAAGTTTAAGAAACAGTGAGTGGGAGCTTTCCTGAACCTGAGTCTCATTCCTAGCGAAAGAGCAGGATGAACGCTTGTGGACATGGGAGCTGGCTCGGAGCTCGTCTGCCTGGCTGTGTGTTTCCTGGACGGGGCCGCCTGTGGAGCTGGTTG